TCCAACCTTTATGATTCTATGATTCTATTAGTGTGTTTTAAAAAATTGTCTTTTCAACTTGCAGTCATCAGATCTTGCTATATGTCAGTCTGTGAATATCTTCTGACCCTAGAACTGAAAAGTTAGTTTTGGATAATAGTGTCTACATGCCTGATTAGTTCATAAAGCCACAAATGAGACCCTTTTACTCTGCTGCAGTGGTGAGGTGGCCTGGGCTTGAATGCAGGTGGATGTGTGGACCTGTATGCTTTGGACATGAGTCCTGCCGGACACCGGGATTTTAACCAGGAATATTTCAGTGTGCTTCCCATGCAAGTATTCTTATGGTTAAGGTACATGTCACATGGAAGAGATTTCATGTGTGCTAAACTGAAAAAAAAAAAAAAAAAAAAAAAAAGTGGAAAAAATCCAAGTTTGTTGCCCAAGGAAGGACAATTCTGTATTACTGCACTCTGAGACTCAAGTTACTTTATCATTAGCAGTGTGCTTTGGTTTGTAGCAAAATGCAGCAAACACTGGGGCCACAGGGGTTCATGGGAATGCATGAAATATGGTCAAGATTCAGATGTGGCCAGTGTTTCAGGCAGTGTTCTGATTCTCCTAATTGCTTACCTCTGACAAACCTTCAGGTCTTTGCTGAAGACCTCTTAAAAGTCATGTTTTACCACCAAAGCTGTAAAACTCTCAACAGTAAACATGTGGTGGTCAAATTTTCAACCCTGTTCCTGAAGAAACAGAAGAACTATTTATCCCTCGCATTCTTCTGTTGGTTCTTCCTTCAAAACTGGCAATGTAATAGTTCATCTGAGAGGAACTATGTATGTAGTGTGATAGGGTAATCAGTTTTTGGCCAGTGCAGTGAAATACAGAGGGGTATCATTTACATCAAAACCAAACCCCAAACCAATCCCCAAAAAGGGCCAGAATAATTCCTAGGAATTCCCAAAAAAGCTTTGTCCTAGGCAGACATTTAGTTCAAGTCTCAGCAACACCTTTCTAACCTTGGAGTCAAAGGAGGAGAGAAGAAGTGCAAGAAGATTAGGAAAAATATCGTATCTTGGAAAAGGCAAAGGACAGTGGGACTTACTGCCAGGAGAGGCTGGGAAACTGCTAGAGAGAGACTTGGTAGCTTGACTTTGTGGTTGCTTATTTAAAAGGGAAATCAAAAATACATCAATGCAGGCAGATGGACTAGACCTAGTAAATAACCCTTCTGCTATATGATGCTAGGTGTGAAAGGGTTCAAGGGTATTCCAGGATCCTTATAACCTTGCTCATGCCCACAAGGCAAGGATTTTCCTACTGGTGAAGGAATGCATTTGGATTCATGCGTCATGGAAGGGTTTGGGACAGGTCTACAGTGTTCTTCAATGCAAAATGAAAGCCAGACTTACGCTAAAGTTAGTTTTATCACTTCCACCCGAAGAAATACTCCATCGTTTTATAACCTAAACATATGAAAAAGAGAAAAATTTATTTTGTTGTTACTTTAATGTCTGGTATCTGCAGCTTGCCTTTGCAGGGCAAGCTGAAGATGGGGAATGATTTCCAGTGGGGTCCTCTAGCAGCAAATGGCAGAAAAAGAGGTGAAGAAATCTATTTGTTTTTCTTTGTACTGCTTTGGATGTTTTTAAACCAATACCCACTACTGACTTGCCAATACTGATCTTCACAAGCTCCCCTCCTCGGGTTACATCCAAGGGAAAACCACAACATGAAAAAGATTCAGTCAATATGCAAAGGCCACCTTCACAGCTTCTTCCCAGCAGTTCAAAGCTCTTTGATGCTGAAACTGGCAACTTTAATTCTATATAGATGCACGTCTGAAATGCTCAAAACAACTAAATCTATAGAACTCTCCTGCAAACATACCACAGATTAGCTTTTACATGGTATTTAAGTATTTTTGATTTTACAGCTGTGTCATACCTAAATAATAGAAAAAAAAACAGAGAGATAACATTCAGAGAAACGCATTGGGATTCTGGGCCAACACAGGCTTCTTTGAGTGGAACGTGTCAGCCATATTCACTATCCCTCTCATTCTGTAACTCTGGACAGCCCATAATGACACCTTGCCACACAGAATAACAGTAGGATTTGCTGGGACCACATCTCCAGAGCTCAACACAGTGAGATCTGAATACAGACCAAAGGCTCTGTAGTGCTCTGCTTCCATAAGGAACCAAACTAAACGTCTCGTTCAGTTACCCTGTGAGCTTTGGTCTTGCCCCTAAGGCAGTCCCACCAAAATAAGTCTCACTTGTGCCACCTTCACCATGATGAAGGTGACTGTGCATTCTGGATATTATTTTGCTTGCGAATGACCAAGAATGTTAGAAATAGCTCAACTTACCCCTTTCCTGAGTGCAGGCACAACCCAAATTTAATTTCTTATTGCCAGCCTAGTTCTGCCACTTGTTTTTTCCCTTCTGCTGGAGCAGATATGCTTCCCTGAAACCTTTTGGCTCTTGCCCAGCAGGCCTAATGGGCTGAGACACACAGGAGGTGCCATCAGCCTCCTCTTCCTTATTTGTATTCTCCACCTCACTTACTACTCAGGCTCCTGATATCTGTTTCTAGTACCAAATCTCTGCCCCTCGGAAAGGCTGCAAGGCCCTTCCCTCAGCCTGCTTCACTCAAAGTCTCTTCTTGCCTGGGAATCATAGAATCACAGAATGGTTTGGGTTGGAAGTGACCTTAAAGATCATCTAGTTCCAACCCCCCTGCCATGGGCAGGGACACCTCCCACTAGCCCAGGTTGCTCAAAGCCTCATCCAGCCTGACCTTGAACACCTCCAGGGATGGGGCATCCACAGCTTCTCTGGGCAACTTGTGCCGGTGCCTCACCATCCTCACAGAAAATAATTTCTTCCTAATATCTAATCTAAATCTGTAGTCTTCCAGTTTAAATCCATTACCCCTCATCCTGTCACTACAAGAGAAGTTTCCTCCTGTTGAAGAAAGCCAAGTATACGGTGATCAGCTGCCACAAATACCGTTATGATACATTCAATTAGCACGCAGTCCCCAAGAAGTGCTTCCACCATCCCATCTTAAATCCTATTGCGATGGCTTTCCTAAATAGCTATGCCCATCGCTGCCACCTTGGCCTCCAACTCATCCCCTCCAGGTGGGGTGGATAATTCCTTCAGTCCCCATCTGCTGCCCTCTCCACTTTCCACCTAGATTTCCTCAGGGTTGTTCTAGTTTCCAGTTCCTAGCTATGAGTGGATGTATGAGGCAATCAGAGATGACCTGAAAGTGAATGCAAAGAACAGACACAAACAAGGGGAACAAACACAAGGAAGATAACACAGACTCTATTCCCCACAAATAGACATGAGGATGGACGTTCTCCTGGGCTGCTGAGCACTCTGCTAGTGGTACCTCTGTGACTGTCCGTGTCCTCTGTGGTGCACATATGCTTGTTGCAACACTCATGGTCAGAAAATCAAGGTAAGGTATTCAGTGAGAGCTCCTAAACTTTCCTGCTTCTTCCCATGCTCCTGCTGACACTAGAGGGCTCTAGGAGGTGATGGTTCTGGAAGTGCCTGACTAACCTTGCTGTCCGTTGTTGCTGGAGATTCCTTCTCCTTCTCCGCGTGCTGGAGTTTTCTGTTCAGGTCTTGGAACATGTCTTGGTGACGTTTTCTTGTGTGCATGATTTTCTGAAGCAAACATAAGGGCCACAGGTTAGCAAACCATACTCAGTTTTACAGAAAAAAACTGTCTTCTCCCCAAAGTTGCATACAATATTAAAACCTAGCTCTGTCTCCCAGCAGGTGCAATCTGGCATGCCTAAACTACTTCAAAGTTCACTGAGCACCCAGTGCAGCACTGTCTTTATTTTCAGGATGAGACGGTGGGAGAAAGTGGAAAAGACTAACTTTTTACCTTATGGTTACCCTAAACCTGCAGCTGCCAACTGTTGCTGCTATAGAATTTGTGTTTGACTGGCAAAATTCTACTACCTAGACCTAGGAAGCTTTGCTGACCTTATCTAACTGACATCTGGCCCCATGCCCACTCTGTTTCCTGTGTCTCCTTTGCAAAGGTGTTCAGAGCTTACCCAATTCTACCAAACATGTAGAATTTTGGTACAAGAAGTTCCATCAGAAACTATTCTGCATTTTCTTTTTCTTTGTATTTTGGCCCTCCTGCATTTCACTTCTACCTTCCACTGCCTGAAAGAAGAGGCAGGACCAATTTCTATAAGAACTTCCCTTTGCATATAAGAGCATGTTGAGTATGGCTTTCTTGTGCTCTGCAAAGTGTTATATGATTGGAGAAGGTAGGCTCAAATAATTTGGGACCAACTTGAAGTATCAGCTTAGATGTACCCATCGTGCCTCAATTTCAGATCAAGCTCACAACCTGGAGCTCTGAAGTGATTCTAGAATTAAGGCAAATCCTCATGGGACCTTGATGCGACTCTGTTTTGGAATAAGCTAGCAGCTTTGAAGGGAAGGCTAGCTCTGCCAGGAAGTCCATGACTGGACTCAGGATAGATGCACTAGCTCTTGCTAGCCCCTCAGACCCTCTGTGGACAACTGGCTCCGTCAAAGCTTCATGCTCTGTGCCTCAGCTGTGAGGACAAACATTTCCTTACATATGTTATAGACTTTTTCCACCCAGGTTGACGCTGTGAAGTTCATTAACAGGTGTGAAAGACCAGGGCTGACAATAGGTTGTGACAGTGGGGACATATCAGCTTCCTTTCTGTTAAACAACAGATCTTGTGCACAAAAGGCAAGGCATTTTAGGCCACCAACCAAATGTCTGTGTGCTTCCCAAACAGGAACATGGTGTAGTCAACTACCACTCTATCAGCTCTCTGTAAGCATTTTCCTCACGGAAGAGAAATTACAGGTCTTGGGCAAGCCAAAGTAGGATCTTGATTTACAAATGTTTACACAGAAGCTACTGCTCCATAAATTAAACATGTGTTAATATAAATCATCCATTTGTTTAGCTGCACAGAGTAAGCCTTAATAGGCATCCAGCACAACTCTTTCAACCCACCGTTTTTAAACACTTGAAGAAGCTCTTTGGCAAAGGCAGTACTCCTGCAAAGGTGCCAGAAAGAAAATAAAGCAGCATTTCTTTTTCCTCATCCTACCCCTGGAAAAGCACATTCAGATAGGGATGTACTCACCTCAAAATCTAGCTCTGCGTACCGGGATTTCCGCCTCTGGTTATTCAAAAGAAAAAGAGATGAGTGAAGGTTAGCAAGGGGTTGATGCTGGTGAGTGGACACAAACTCAACCACACAGTAGATAAAACAGGAAGAATGCTTCTCCTTTTCCTTCTTCCTACACCTTTTAATGTGTTTATCTGACTCTTCATAATGGAAAGTGCCAGCCATTTAGAGGGATCCCTACTAAAAAACACTGAGCCTTGAGGAGGGCTGAGTACAGGCTAAGCATGGGAGTTTGGCCAGTTTAAGCTCTGTCCTAATTATTAGCTTGCAACTTATTCACAGACTGGAAAGCAGAGAGGGAGCAGCAGATCAGCCAACTGATCTGCTGGAGCTTTTGAGCACCAGTCAGCCGAGACTGAAGTTTGGACAGCAATGACAGAGACCTGCTCTCTGACAATAGGCAAGAAAAGGGCCAGATGTCCTAGCACAGACCTCAGCATAAGATCTAAGGTCTAGAGAGAACTGCTAATACACGTAATGAGTTATCCCAGGTCAGAAGGAGAGGGCTGCACTTCTGCAAAACTTTTGACATTCCTCTGATGCTAAGAGCATTGTGGGGGCATGTCTTAGGGACATTTTACACCTGTGATCACTCAGGTTTTCTCATCTGTGTCATAGAATCACAGAATCATAGAATCATAGAATAGTTAGGGTTGGAAAGGACCTTAAAGATCATTGAGTTCCAACCCCCTTGCTATGGACAGGGACACCCTCCACTAGCCAAGGTTGCTCAAAGCCTCATCAGAGGATAGAAGGAGAAAAGGTAATGCAAGCCTCATGATAATATAATACTGGCATTGCATGGTGGGCTGAATTTGGCCTAAGGTGCTTCTCTTGAAACACCTGGTTTTGGCCGACATTGAAGGCAAGACATCATTCTGGGCTGGGCTGAGAACAAAACAGTAATTCACATCCTCACCTCCAAGGAGCTCATGGAGAGGGTGGAGACGGTCTCACTCTTAGACACCACACCTGAGTTTCCTGAGTCACCTGTGTCACACAGGCTGTTGGGAATCTGTGACTCACTGGAGATATTTTGTGGAGCCAGTTGCTGCTGTTGTTGTATCATGGGGGAACCTTGAACTTCACTGCATGTCATGGTTACAGGCTCCCGTGGAGGACTCTTGACAACAAAGCCTGGGTCAGTAGCCATACTGAGGTGGATAAGCCGTGTCTGGGGCATCTGGTCAATATTGATGCTGTATTTACTCTCATCTTTGGGTGGTTTGGCCCGTAAGGTAGACGTGTTGGTAGGCAGAATGACATAGCTGGTGTCCAGCGTTTGCTCTTGCGCCCGGGAGAGTTCTGAGTCCAACTTCTTGAAGATGTCTCCATCGCAGATGTAGATGGACTTAGGTGGCTGGTTCTTGTCCTTCTTCAGAGTCAGGGTGTGATTGCCGAACTCATTCAGGTTGATGGCTCCTAGGTAGTGTGGTGAGCCCTGAAGATGCATCTTGGAGACATTGGCTGGAAGACTGTTAAAATTTGATGAACCTTTCTGGTGATTGAGTTTCAATTTTTCTTCATCTGGCAGTGATGGACGCTTCAGTGTTCCTGTGATGGTTGAGGTCCTGCAGGCAGTGATGTCTTTATTCAGCACTAGGGAGACAGATAAATTTCCTTAGCACCTCATCTAGGGTTTTGTTAACACATCAATACACCTACCACAGTCACACCATGCTGGCATGTTCCCTTGGACCTCTCAGAAAGGGGCTATGGTTGCAGAACAGTGTTTTTTATATACATATACTTTTTTTCTTTTTTAAACCCAGGAAACTGAAGGCAAGGCTAAAGCTAAGGAGGAAAAAAACTTTCTCCTTTTGAGAGAGTTCTCTGTGATGCAAATTTTCCAACTCAGTCGTAGCCAAAACTCCCACCTAGGCCAACATATACTGTCATATTGATAAAAATATCTTGAAAAGCAAATACATGTACATATTTTTAGTACACATAGTATATGTATACATAAGAAATATATATATATATAACTAGCCTATGGCACAGTAGAATTCTTTAAAATAAAAGGTTGCTTTCATGTCCAAAATTATTTTGATTCAGAAAATAGCTGAAATGCAGCATTATCAATGATTTGAAATGTGAATTCTATTTTTTTTTTTAATTCACTGAACTGTTTCAGGTTACTCTCTTCCTTTGAACAGTTTCAGTGTCAGTAATTTGGTATTTTAAAATACACCACATGTTGTTATAAATTTCTACCTACTCTCCAAAAAGCTGACATTCAATCATGGCAAGCTTTTGTGAGATTTAATTATTTAGTGTTTTTCCAATTTCCCTTAAGGAAAGAAAGGACTGCCATGAATAATCCTCAGTAGGAGAGGAAAACCTTAAACTGAGGATGAGGTGAACATGCCAATTAGGAGGTACATAAAGGACACATAGACACTCATTCCCACACAACACTGTCCACAATAAAACATCTGCTCCTTTTCTAGGCCTAAGAATCTATCACTCAGTTGATTTCAGGCTGCAACAAAGACCTTAGGAAGAGAATGACACCAGCCTTGATGGCTCCAGGGGATGGAGATCACAGATTTTGGGGTAGGGGCAAAGTTGCGTGGGACTGAAGGCTACTTACCCAGTATTTCAGCACAGGAAAGGAGAAATAAATGCATGTTTCCCTTCCACCCATCTCAGAAAAACAAACAAAAAGGTCCTTTCACCTATTTTTTCTCAATGGACCAGAGACCTGATATTATTCAGCTGGTCCACCTGTGGCAGAGGCAGGACGGGACACAGGCATCCCATGGGACTGAGGACACACTAGTCTGCCTCCCAGCTCACACTGGGAGTGATGGGTGATGATAGAATAGCAAAGCTCCCCTCAAAGACTGCAGCAAAGGTAAGGCAGGATGGCAAGGAGACCAAGTAGAATAAAACAACTTTTAAAAGCTTTGAAAGCTAAACATGCTGGATGTAACTATGACAGCTGTTGTCATCTTGACGTTCTTAGAGGACACACTAAGAGCATTACAGAAACATTCTATGATTGCAGAATCATAAAATGGTTTGGGTTGGAGGGGACCCTAAAGATCATCTAGTTCCAACCCTCTGCCGTGGGCAGGGACACCTGCCACTAGACCAGGTTGCTCAAAGCCTCATCCAGCTAGCCTGGTCTTCATAGCATACACTGCAGGAAGATGTTACCCAAGTCAAACCCTTCACTTGGGAGTGTCAGTAAGATTTCTTAATTCAGGTTCTTCTCCATGCTCACATCAGCTGCAGAAAGTAGGTTTGGAGAGGCTGGCACTTGGCAATCTCCAAGCATGGAGTGAAATGTGCTTTCAACAGTGAGCCATGGACCAAATCCTACCAGTGAATCTAAGTGAGGAGGTTATGAGCAGTATCAGGCATATCTCCAGTCTGCCATAACATGAGTGACGGTTCCTCCAGGAGAAGTGATGGCCAGAAAACAACAGGCAGATTTCTGTTTTTTTATTAATCAATGAGCAGAATGCATAGGATGATGCACCATGTAGAAAGGTCTCAGAAATGGGGACTATTGTTAATGACTTAGTTTGGTGTAGACTAACAGCACTTTGTCAGAGGTGGATAATCTCTTCAGGTAGACATCAACAAACAAATTATAGAGCTGTACACTGGAAAAGGAAGGGAGGACTAGGCTATTAACAAGCTACTGATCCAGAGTCTTCTGCCCTGAAGTCATGTTAAACCATTCAGCTCCTTCAGGAAGCTCAATTCAGGAGCCAGAAACTCAGCAGCAGATCCAGAAATGCTCCTTTATTGCAGGAGTTCAGGGTCTGCCTTGGTTCCCAGTACAAGGTGGGCTGTTGGCTGGGTAGCTGGTTGTGTGCACCAACACCCAGCCTGGAAGTATGTTTGCTGCGTATGCATTCGTGTCGGACCTGGTCTCACGTGCACGTCTTTCACATGTGATTTTTAGAACTGAGGTCTTTGGTGTAAAAAAGGAAGGAGGAAGACAAATGAGAAGAGGGAGACAGTTAGAAATTAGATTAGAGAGTGTGACACAGAGAAACAGGAACAAAAAAAAAAAATGGACAGACCCTGAAAAGAGATAAATGGACAGAAAGAGACCATGAAATAAGATATCATAGGGATAAGTGAGATAAATATACTGTGACTGTGATAAGCATAGGGAGAAAGAGTGAGGCAGAGAGAAGGACAGGGGAAGATAAGATATAGATAGATACTAGACAGAAAAATGGTAGTGACAGTGATGGACAATGCTCAGAAACACAGTGACAGAGATAAATGTTGACAGGGATAGAAATACATAAATAACAGGTACAGCAAGACAGACAGGTGAGGACGGAGATAAATAAGTGATTGCAAGATAGAAAGAAAGAGATGAACTATAGATAAATACATTGGAAGCATATACATAAATGATAGATTAGATAAAGAAAAAGAAAAAGATAAATGAAAGTGACAGGTAGATAGATGTGTATAGAAAGAGAGAGAGAAGGAGATAAAGAAAGAAAAGAGGGAGAGAAAAGAAAGAAAGAGAGAGAGAAGGAAAGAAGGAAAGAAGGAAAGGAAGGAAGGAAGGAAGGAAGGAAGGAAGGAAGGAAGGAAGAAAGAAGCTTTTTCCCATGATGCTAACTGAACACACAGTATGTACTGTCCTTGGCTAGGGGAGATCCTGGTTTGGAAGATGTGAGTTATACACAAGTGCCAAGCAAGCTGGTATTTCTCTTGCTTGGGAGAGGGGAGAAGTCTGGGAAGGTAAATTAAGGCTTAAATATCTACAAAGGGTAAGGAAAAAAAATCTCAGCCAAATGGTCATGCATGTCAGGACCAGGAGAGAACGAAACCTGTAGAGACAAACAGGTAGGAAAGGAGAATCCAGACAGTACAGACACCCTCAGGGGAATGAGAGAAAAGGGAGTTACTGGGGAAAGGAACTGTCAACTCATGCAGATCTTCAGGACCAAAATGAATGTGTGTGGTTGAACACACAGTAGAAAGGTGCAGACAAAGGAGGAGAGACCTAACCCACCTCCATACATACAGGCAGCTTATAACTGCACTAGACATGTGAATGGGGCCAGGTGGACTGGTGGGAAGGCTCTCCAGACTCCAGACCTTCCCAGAGACACCTCTCTTGAGCACAGAGCTGTCTGAGGTTGGTGTGATCAGTGTGACTCCCTTGGGCAGGGGTTGCTAAAGCAAAGAAGGATCACAGTAGGAAGAGATGGATCACAGTAGGAAGAGATGGATCCAATCTCTTCTTCTTTGATACTCTTCTCTGCCATTACATGGGGCCATAGGTAAGAAATAATACCTCGGAGGCAAGGCTTAATCTTAGCTAAAAGGCCAAGAGAGTTGTGGGGAAATAGGATAAGCAAAGCATAAGGTAGAATTAAGGGAGATGCTTTATTTGGCCAGGGTTGAGAGTAAGGGCAGCCCACGCAGGTACATGCAAGCCACTAAGGCACACACACAATAAAACAGAAAGGAAAAAGAAAAAATGGCCTAGTTCAATCCCCAAACCAGGTCACTTGTTGATTCTCACCTGTGATGTGCTCACCTGATCTACAAGCCATATCCACGTCCTTCTCAAAATCGGTCTGAAAGACAGAGAACACAGAGGATGTGGTTAAAAAGGAGGTGGTGGGGTAAAGCAAGCCATTCGGAAAATGTGAAAACCGCTTTAATTAGTGAGTCGGACATAATCACTGTGAGAAGAGTGGAGGAGAGATGTTTTGCTTGGGCTTTGAAACAAAGAAAACAGACGACTTTTTTCCAGCTGTGGCTTTTGAACCTCATGCAGTGGTAAAGCCATAACGTTGCTTTTCAGCTGGATACATTTGCTCATCCATATACTAATTCCACTAATTAAGATATCTCCCTGGAACACATTTATGCACGTTCCTAAAAAATAGGGGACAGGTTCCTGGCCTTGGATATATCTCCCCATACTTAGTCTAAGTGGATTCCCCGCCACTTGTTAAAAAGATCTGGGGATGTCGCTGAGAGAATTCCATACCTGATGGGCTTTCTGGTGATTTATCACCAAGTCACATGAAGTGGAAATAAGTCTCTGCTTCTGAAAATCTTTGCATATAAAATCAATGGTCCCTGCAGGCACAAAGGCTAAATAACTTTTTTCAAGCAGTCTGTACAGCCAAATGAATCTCCTTTCTTCTTCTGGTATGAGTTAATCCATTTTCTAAAGCTTTTAGCAGATAACATTTCAAAGAACTGGATACGCTGAGTCACAGTGGGCCATGAGTTTTCCTGGAGTAATGTAAAGGCCATGAACTAGCAAAAGGTAGAAGAGTTCACTGATTATTTCTAGTGTCATTTCAGAAAGAAGACGCTTAGTGTAATTGTATTAATGTGATTAAATGCATCCTAGTTTGATACTAAGAAGAGTGTGAAAAAAAATCCCCATCCCCCTGGAATAAACACTTTAGTATTAGCAGGTTGAAATCGAAGAGTTTTTGAAGAGCTTGTTGAGGAATTATCTCAACCTTCTTCATGATAATTTCTTATTAAATTATTTGGGGTATCAAATAAATCTGCAAAAGAATAGAAAAGAAGTAACACTGAACTAACATTTAAATGGGCAAGTGGGATGACACAGAAAAACATAATCTCATTTTCCTGATAGGAGTTCCAGAAAAATGTAACAGAACAGCCTGTACTAGTTCTACTGATAAATAAATAAAAGATAGCTTTATATTTAATACCAGTCAACAAGATTTTGTGGGAAACAGCTCTACTTAGATAAGCTTCTTTTCACTTGCTGGGCAGATTTGGAGTTTACTGGAAAAGGTAACAGCAAAAAATGCCATCCTGCAAAGCTCTTGATTTCTTTGGTTATTTTACAACTCAGTCCCTATAAAATAACATTGTACCCCTCTAAAAATATCAGTGAGGAGTCATGATTCACATCTAGATTTTGGAGCTTTTTGTGCCTGAATGTGAAAAAACTGTAAGCTCTCTACTTCTCAACACATCCATCAACAGTGCAGAAGTAGATATCATCTCATTGCTAAAAAGTTGTAGTTGACAGAATTTTGCAAGGTGGTGGATAATGAATGAAAACAGGTAGTTTTACAAAGAGACAAAAATCTGAAACTTCAGAATATAGCGCTTGGGATGGTGACAATAGAGTAACAAATATAGCATCCACATTTTTAAAGGATGGAGAGAGTCTTAAGGACATGTGGAAAAGGGTTATATAAATAATTTGAAGGCAAATGTCTTGCATAGGGAGAAAAAAAAATCTCAGTGTGTTAACTTACTGAAGGGAAGATTGAGACTGGATACAATTACAGTGTCTATTATTGAAGGAGCGAAAGAGCTAGGCACACAAGGGCTTTCTAATTACACATAAATAGGCATAACAAGAACCTCTCTGAAAATGAGAAGACTACACATTTAAATTAGAAATGAGGCACCTGTTTTTAACAAGAATCTATGAGGCGTGGTACAATTATATATCTCTTGATGTCATGACCTCAAGATTGTGCTGTTTGAAATGAGACCTTGTACCCAAGCACAAGCTCCTAAGCTTAGCACAAGAGTGACTGGAAACAAGCACCATTGGGTTATGATATAGGTATAATATTAACTAGAATTTTTTGGAGCTTGTTCAAATCTTGTGATTGTCCTGATGTCCTTATCCCAACCTCAGAAATCAAATGCCTCTTATATCATCTGCATCATACCACTGAGGCAGATGGATGACGGTTCCCCATAGCTTATATTTTATGGCTTTATCTAGTTTGTTTGTAAAGGACCTACACAAGAGGAGCAAAGTTTACAGTGCTTTAACTACATTCCTCGTGAAGCAATGTAAACAAGAGCACTTTTGAGAGAACAAAGTCCTTTTGAGACAGCATCTTATAATGACTATGACCCAACACACTATGATTAAAACAGTATTAAACTACTGCCTCCTAGCTCCAGCTAGGACAAGGCAGCATGATGGGAATGAAAAGGTCTGGAAGACTTGGAAGGTACATTATGGCTTTGTATTTTCTGGAAAAGAAAGGATCTCACCAAGATGTTTGCAAAACCTGGTGCGTAAGTTTGAGCCTCTTAATATTACAATGAAAAGAAACCTTATTTGTGTGAAAGAGGCTATGCTAAGTGTTACCTTTGTTCAAGCACAATTTTAAAGGAAAAAAGAATGATGACTGCAAAATCTATGATGGACAGAGCCCTTTGTTTATCAGTTATGGGTTAAAAATGCCCATAGGTCACTTAATAATAGACTAGGTTATAGTTTTCCCTACCATTAGCTGAGCGTGTCCATTCTGAAATGACCCTCCTGAGTCTCCATTGCCCTCTTCCTGACGATCTACTACTCGGCACTTCACAGCATCCTGGACCTGCAGGAACAAATGGATTTGCAAAAGTCAGAATCAGGTAGAAATACTAAACTATATCAAATTACGCTGAGGACAGAGAGGAAAAAAAAGTCCTTAGTAGAGCAAAAGAATGTGGATCTTACTTCAGTAGCATTCAGGTATTCATTTCAAATGGTTTATATGGTACATATCTCATGTATGAACAGAGCAACTCAAAGATTTTACAGGTACCCTAGGTCACTGTGTTGGTCACTTCTATTTGCTTGATTTATATAGTCAAAAATAAAAATGTCTTCTATTTTGAAGTTTGCAATACATTTGCAACGAATGCTATTCCATAAATTATTATATTGGGGTTTACAATGTCTGATTATGATCCTGTATCAGCTGTAATATATATCTGATCCAAAATTCACTGAAATAAATGGAAAAAAATATGCCAGTGACTGCAATGAGAGTGAAATGCAGGCCCATATTCATAATGCAATTAGTTGAAGAAATCTCAGCCAAGCCAGTGGCATAATTCCATTGATTTTGTTGGCCTGACATAAGAAATTAATCTGTTTTACTTAATTTAAAGGAACTGTAGGAAGATAAAATGAATATTGGGAAAAAAAAAACCACCCTCCTGTCTCTGTTATTAATAGTCTATCCACTCAGTAAGATGAAAAGAAGAAAAAAAAAAACATAAAAGATTCTTCCTTTTCTTTCCTAATATAATTTAGCATTTTAAATCTCCACAGGGAGGCTGAAGAGAATTTACTCAATTTCCTTGCTTGATTATTGCTAGCTTTACTTTCTAGTTCAAATACCTAGGTGCTAATGCCAACATACAATAATTCTGTAAATCTCAGTGCAAGTTGCCCCCCTCGAAATCAAACAAACTGTTTTTTCTTAATACGCCATTTTTCAAGGGTGTGGTGTAAATGTCCTGGACGTAATAATTTTGGTATAAACCAAGCAAAATCTGACATGATATCTAGAAAACAAGGAAGTCAAAGACTGTCCCCCAAATTCCACTCTGCATGACAACCATTGATTCATCTCTTCTTCTCCCCTTCCTTCTGACCACTACTGTCACGGCTTTTTTTGTTGCCCAAAGAAGCTGTGGCTGCCCCATCCCTGGAGGTGTTCAAGGCCAGGATGGATGAGGCTTTGAGCAACTTGGTCTAGGGGAAGGTGTCCCTGCCCATGGCAGAGGAGTTGGAACTTGATGATCTTTAAGGTCCCTTCCAACCCAAACCATTCTATGATTCTATGATTTTTGGGGTCACCATCCACACAAAGGTGAATGTTCATAGGATTAGAGAAGTTACCAGGCTAAGTGGACATTTTTCAGATGTTTTCTACAGGATGTATGTTCGTTCCATGAAAAAGAACAACTCATTTGTCTTACCTCCCGCCTTAGGATGCAATGGACCATCACAATGACAAAGCCCTCCAACGAGTCAAAGACAGCAAAAAGGATCTGGAAGAGTGCCGACCGCCGATCTGTGATTGCCAGAACTGCAGACATCCAGGTGAGAGCCAGGAGAGGCAGGACTACACAGGAGCTCCAAAGGGATGCCCTGTTAAGGGAGAGGAAAAGACAATTCAGCTCCACTTCATCTGCTTCCATGTGGAATGCTAATTCAGCCTCCTGATCCCACGGGGCTTCAGAAGACTTCTTCAGCAAACGTATACTAGTGCTAGATGTGTTCTGAGCCCCTACCACAGGGAAGCAGGAAGATTCTTTGCGCACTCGCTCTACCAAAAACAGGTGACACACACTTCTACAGGAGGGACAACTTTTCAATGGTGCAGTCATGCATAAAACTGGAGGTGGGGAGGAAGGATGCAGATACCTCACTCCCCCCTTCATGCCCTTCCCACTCTATGTCACTATTGCACCACGATGGCATTAGTCAAGGAGGGGAGACAAAATACAATCACTGTAGGTTGCCAAAGGGGTGGGGAACAGTTGCAGCAGAGACTGGTTTGTCACGATGGCTGTCGGTACTTGGGTTACAGACACTTGGACTTCCACAGCACATGGAAAACACCAACACTGGTGACGTGTCACAGTTTCAAGTGACTGAAATGGACAAGCATAGAGCTGATGTGGAGACTGATCTTTTGCTGTTGCTCCCTTACTCTGTAGCTGACGGTCCCTACAACATCAATAGGCATCAGGAGAACTGACACCTGACCCAATTTTTCTGCTAACAGAAAATTTTTGACTTTCTTGTGTGATTACTCCAGCTGAATCCCTTGAAAAAAAAAAATCTCAGTTGTTTCTATATTTAACAATTATTGTAAATAAGTTTATTCTTAGGCTTTATTCACGGACATGATGGGTTAAAATAAGATTCAAGCCACTTCTTAATGCACAAGTCAGAAAACCGGACAAAACAGTTTTCTGCACTGCCACACGAACTTCCACTTTATCTATGAATGATTGCACTAGAAATGGGAAGGCAGCTCTGTTTCCACAGGCTATTTACTCATTCATCTCTCTGACCAAAAAAGGTCACAAGTAATTTTAACAGCTCGTTATGGAGATTTTAAGCTGTCAGTCACCCTACATATTTGGCAGCACTGGTGCACCAAGAGCACCACAAGAATTTCTCTGTAGGGTCTTATCTAACAAATAAGAGTAGACCTATGCACAGGATGAATAACAAGTCGAGATTCAAGATTTTTCTGTGTAGGAAACCTCACCCTACGTACTGACAAACAAATAGAGGCAACAAAATTAATTACAGGACAGATATTACGACACATGTTTTACAGGACCTATATGGGACTTGCTTACCATTTTCTGATAAATGATCAAGTTTTTAATAACGTTTACTGGCCGGTTATCCAGGTAATGCTCTCACAAACCTCAGTGAGAGTTTTAGCTGAACAAAGCTGGAGCTTGGACATGGGTATGGACTGCGGGATGTAAATCCCTGACTTCAGTTAAGAGTTTTTCAAGGATTGTTACATCAGTTCTGCTGTAACAACCACATACCGAGGTGACATGTCATTTTTATAGTCATAATGATACTCTGGTTGCAAATATTTCTACAACCTATCCTCAGTGGTATTATTAAGGAATGTAATTTACCTAAGGGAGCAGGTAAATGGAATACACTTTTTTAAAATTGAAACGAGCATTATGAGACTTTTTTAAAATTAAAACAAGCATTATGAAACATAATCTGATACTTTGTGATTTCATACGGGATGACAAACTGATCTTCAATGTCCAATACGAACTATAATTTCAAAGTATTATCAAAAAAAAACAACCAAAAACCAAACCCCAAAACTAGCCAGACAGCCCTCAACCAAACAACACCTAAACAGAACTTTTTATTACACTTCTCCCTCAGCCCTCTGTAATCCTCCTATTTATATTGAAATCTCTCTTTGCTATCATTTGCAGTGCTGCATTAATAGAACTGGCTAAGCAGTAAGTACACCAAAAAAAATCAGAAGCAGAAAAGCCAAATGGAAAGGTAAGGCTTGTTCCATAACATGGCACTCCTAGATCTGTCTTCCATTAACACAACATGCCTGACACATGACTTTGTAGATTAAGTAATTCCAGTAGCACTTTACAATTGTGATTGCTGGAAACCAGCAAAGTCAATACAGGTTGCTAGAAAAGGTCTGTACCGGACAACTCTGCTTCCTGGAATTATCTGGTCTCCCTGCATACCCTCAATACACACATATGTGTATGTTGTTACAACAAACATGCAAACAAGAAACCTGGAAACCACATCTGAGACTGGATCTGACATGTAAGCACAGGTCTGAACCAATTTGGATGGGTTTTCTATTCTTGAAAAGAACTGCAGCATCAGATTGACAATGATTTGGACCAGGATCCAAGATTTAGATGTGGATTTGTGGTCGTAAGGGATGCTGCTGATGAGGTAAATTATGTTTTTCTTTAGTAAATGGTTAGATTTCAATTTACTGGCTTCAAAACCTGTTGTTTGGGGTTTTTTTAAATGCAGGTACCCTGCTTTAACAAGGCGCTGCTTGAGCCAATTGCCTATCCAGAGCCCACATGCAATGATCCATAACTACAGTGGCCTCCCTTCAAAGCTCCTGCTGTCTTCACACAATACTCAGTCAGTCCTTCACAATCCCTTGCTCTGTCTGTCTCCAGATGGGCAAACTATTAAACTTTCTTTTGAATCAAAACGTCCTGATGGACTTTGCTATTGGTCCCAACAGAAGTGACCTTAAGTCACCACTTAAATCTCTGCCCTTCCAACCAGGTGATGAAAATATCGTCTGACCTTCCAACTCAGATGATGAAAAGAGTATTACGCCACATATTCAGCTGGACTAAATCAGGATTTTCCCAACTGAGCTGTGCTGACTTACACTAAGAGTATGGCCTTTCTGCTCTTTTGGTGATTCACTTTGCAGATGCCTTCTCAACAATATTCATCCCTTACAAACGTTATGGAAATGCTGCTTGACACTTAATGCATAATCTTTATTCTCAGGCAGCAGATGGCAACAGGTCATGGGAACATAACTTACTCCAATTTCACTTTCAGAGCTCTGCTTAGCATTTGAAATATCAAATTCAAAAAAGTTCCATTTAGGAAAAAAAAAATCATTTCAAGACTGAAATTTCAGGAGAAAACTCAGGGGAAGATAAGTAGCTTTCCTGTGTCATTGCCCTTAATTCTGCTTTCTGTGAGCTGAATTCATAGCAGAACTCATATTTCTGCCACCTTTCCATCTGTCCCTTTTGTAGCAGGTACTGTGCATCCTTAAAACGTTCCAGAATAACTTATAGGACCTAAGAAACTTCACGTTATGGTTCCACGTGATATGAAATGAAATTATGATTTGTTATATAATGACATTGGGATTACTTAGTGATTCTTCATTACGGATTATCTATGATCAATGAATCCAGGATGCGCCTGGATGCATTCCTGTGTGATCTGATCTAGGTGCTCCTGCTCCGGCAGGGGGATTGGACTACATGATCTTTCGAGGTCCCTTCCAATCTCTAACATTCTGTGATTCTGTGATTCTGTGATTTTTATTGTTCAAGACATGCATGACAGCACTCATGGTGAGTGACAGCAATATCAAGGAAAGATCGTTACACTGCATTTTGGAAGTGTGATGTTGGTTTATTGTGTGATGACCATGACATGACAACGTTACTCAGCAGTACAGTTGTAGTGTCACATTGTTCCTCCCCACCACACCATGCTACCACTGCATTGCAGATGAAGGGCGCCACTTTGGGCTATGGCAATGCCACAGCACATTGCAACCAATGACATGTGACAACACGGCCACACAATGACATTGTCGACCACTTTATCTAGCATGGCAAAGACTTAGCCTTATGAAAGCACATAGCAGAAAGAGCTCTGGCAATGAGTAGATGATGGCCTTTGGTCAAAATACCAAAAATTATCTGTGGTTTTGCTCTTTAGCTAGCAGGCAGCCTTGTGAGTCTTCATCTTTGCAAAAGAAACAGGATAAACTGATGGCACTTAGAGGATAGCAATGGGAAGAGAAAAAAATGTTTTTGGAAACAAAGATCTACATGAAGAAAGAGTAAGAGGCTTGCACCTTGACAAAAAGTGAGTGCAGGGGGACACACAATACATGCCAACAAACATGTAAGAGGCTATCACAAAGAGGTGAGTGATCAATTCTTATCCCTCAACACTGACAGGGCAGCCAGAACCATAAGCTAAAAAAAACAGCAGAAGGAAAAATAACTATAATTCAGAAAGCAGCTCCTGGAGAGGAGCTCTGGAAAGGGAGATGGCAGGTGGACTCAACACACAAGACAATGGATGGCTCCTTCCATGCTGCACAGGGGAGATAGCTCCACTATTCTGATGAACCTGTTATTCCTGTATCACAGCAATTCTGCTCCAGGAAAAACATTGTACAAAGCTTTCCTTCATTCATTCTCTTCTGCTTTATCTCTCCTCTAACTTGTATTCCTCTTAAAAGCAAGAGTGTTGCCCAATTTTAGTGACAGTTTCAGGGAAACTCCCTTTAACTCAGAGTCTATATAACCAAGATAGGAAATCTAACTAAAAAAGACGGGACACTGTGCATAGAAACATAAGATATTATTTCTGTTTTCTCAAAAAGTTGATTCTTCTCTCAGTGGCTGCAATCTAAACCACATAACTAGAATAGGAAATCAAATGCCTCTAAATTAGTCAGGCAGGTAATGAAGTAGCTCGGGGCAGACTGCTTAGGTATTCATCCCTAATAAGGGAAGCTGTTCTTTGACAGCCCAAGCAAGGACATGTAGGGCCCAAGTGTCATCCCAGGTTAAGGATACAATTTCAAATTCCTTGAATTATGAGAACAACACTCTCCTGAGGAATAGTCTCCTTCATAAAACCAACCATGCATGGAAATAACAATTCACATTAGTACTAGAACTACAATGCAGGGAAGAAAATTTGACATCTAAGACTTCCTGAAATGACTTTGAGTCAAGAAAAAGAGCAAATCCGTCAGATGGGAGATTTAACATATGAGCTTCTGATGACGTAAAATGGATCATGTATGAAAAGGGTCATGA